GTCTTGGCGGGCTGGGCGGGGATCCTTCTAGAAGCCTTGCTGATTGATAAAGTAATTTAGCAAGGATTGCAAGTGCAGTAGAGCAGACGCCGCCGCAAACCAGACCCTAATCTCGAACCTTGAAGCGTGTTGTTCAACGTTGTCACTGTGGTCGCCGCGTGGCTTGTGGTGACCAGATCAGCCCGGGGGGAAGATAGTACAATAAAAAAATGGCTTTGTTTTCTCTCATCTTCGGATTGTTATTTTTTTAGACAGTTTCGAAAATTGAATGTACCCGTATTTGTATGACATGGGCTATGAAACACAAAACTGTTGTTCTGTGGATAAGTTTGTAAGGGAGCAGTGGTGTGCGTGCGACTGGCTTTTGACCTTCTAGTCGTCACTTTTCCTTCATACGTGACGTCGTGAGGCAGGTGCTGGGCGCCAGACCTCTAATGCGGGTGTGGCCAGGTGGGGTGAAAGGAGCCATAGGGCCGCGGGCAGATACGCTGATAAATATAGGCTGAGACGCGACCGACAGGCGCCACACCAAAAACCTCTCAAGACGCCACGAAGTGTGTAGACGAGACGGGAAGAAATGTTGGATTCTGCAGGTTGCAATTTTACATTGAAACCTCTCGGCCCGTGATTGATTTTTATTGAATGGCACTATCGCAAATTGACTCCATGGTTCAATGTTGGGTGAACCTCCCCCCCTCCCCCTCTTTTTAACAAACTAACCGTTATCACGTGACCAGGAAATTTCGTTATCATAGTTGAGAAACCGCCAGGGAGGGGACCAGGGCAGGGGGGAGCCATAGTGTTGAGTCGGCCACCACACCACAACGCGACCCGCGACCCGCCACGCTACGCTACGCCGCCGCTGAACTGACACAGACTGACACCACTGACACCGAGACTGACACCGACCCCCGAACAATCAGCCCGCAGAGTCATTATTGACTCCGCCTGGCGGCCGCTGTCCATGTCGCCCAGGTCGCCCCGCCCCGCCGACACTCTAGATTGTACCGGCCGTGGGCACACGGGTCACGGGTACACAAACTGCGGTGGTGGCACGTACCCGCTGGCCCCGCAGAAGCCGCCCACGGCACCGCAGATCCAGAGGTACATTGTCCTGCAATGACATGACGGTCGTTTCTTGGCACGCACCGCAGTGTTGCGGGCTTGCCTACTTGCATGGGCCGCAGGGGCCAAGGTGCTTTACCACCGGAGGGAGTTAGGTTAGGGCCTAACCGTTTGGCAAACCAGTGTAACACTCCGGCACGTGCCGACACTCTAAATGGGGAGGGACAATTTTTGTACCTTAGTTAGATGTGTCTTTGAGCACATCTTCATCAGATACAAATTTGTCTGTACAGAGGTACAAAGTGTACCTAGGCTAGGTACAAATGCTATATTTTGTATGTGACTTGGATGCAAATTTGAATTTGGTTTAGATGTGCTCAAAGACACATCCAGCCTACGTACAAAAATTGTCCCTCGCCATTTAGTTGGAGTCTGAGGATTTTAATATTCAAAAACAGTATTTTTAGGATTTTTTAAAGCAGATTTTTAAATCCCCTTAAGTACTTTCATTTTGCCCCCATTCTTCTGGAAATATTTCAAAATATTTCAAATTTTGGTCTTTAAAATCAGTATCCAAGTAAAACGCCCGGCACGTACAGCAATACATTTGCACGTACGTGGCCGCTGATGCCGTCGGCGGTACTCTAGATTACCGGCCCGGGTACATATGCCACATACCCGCCGCACATGAACTTATCAGCGACAAAGCAGAGGCAACGTCAAGCCAGGGACGTCCGAGCCGCGGGGTCGGTCTCGGGGGTCTCGGGGGCCGTCGCCGTCAGCAGCGACAAAGAGAAGAGGGCGGCGGAGTCAGCGCCCCCCGGCGGGCCTGACTGACGCCTGACGGGACGGGACGGCCAACACCCGCCGCGCGGTCGCGCGGCCGACAGTGACGTCACGCCAACTGCAGCCGGGGCGTCAAGAGGCGCCCGGAGTGCGGCCGGGGCCCGTGGTGCGGCGGGGCGTGGCGCGGCGGGGCGCGGCGGGGCGCTGCGGCAGTGCAGCTGGGCGCGCGGTTCGGGGGAAAGAGTTCTTATCGGCTCGTGCGGCGCGTGCTGCGGGGCGGGCCAGGGGCAATCGCAGAGCCGCGCCACGTCAATAGACCACTATTCCAATGATGTCGCTCTTTCGGAAACTAAACGAAAGGAGAACTAATGACTCCAATCAGCGCTCGCCACCGGGCGTTCTGATTGGCTCGATCCGCGCGCAGCTGTTGCTGCGGCCGGAACCACCTGGGGGTTGTTGTTGTAGACTCCCCCCGTCGGTCCCTCACTTACTTCGGCCGTCTCGGCTGGTTATCCAGGATCAACGAGATGAACACATACCATGACTACTACCCTCGGGGATGGCTCCTCCCCACCCCACCCCACCCCGCGGTCCTCGTCATAAAAACCACAAAGATGTTGTTGTGACCCGTCCCGCCATCTCCATGGATTACCATATAATTTTTCCGTCGGCGATAAGCCCCTTGGTCTTGGTGAAGAGCGGGGCCACTGCGGCTGGCTGCGTTGGGCTGCGCTGCCGCT